ATTTTCACGATGTCGCTGATAATCCTAATAAAGAAAACACGTTTCTGTTAGGATAGACTAGTCAAAACTACTAAACAAATTGCGAAGGAGCGAGCAAGATAGGTTTATAAATTTCTGAATCTCAAAATACCTGCCTGAAATCTAAGAACTGGATACTAATATATACACGTGTTGCATCAATATCAATCGGTAATTCCGTGAGACTTCTCGAACTTCTCTAGTTCTTTTTGAACCAAGTCGTCAGCCTCATCGGTCACCTCTATCACTTCTTTCACCTAAATAGACAGGTGCGCCACCTAATTTCACAAATAACTAGGCGAAGGTCAAATGTAAACATTTCTAGAGAAAAAACACTTGAGTGATTGAAAAACCAACCTCTGGTACGTAAAACTGCAACATATTTTGAATTCCCTGACTTCAACGTGACCGAGGAACTAGGACAGCCCGTACATGATCCCTAAATCGGTACGACTATTATGCAAAGAAAACTAGCTTTAACTATCCTTTTTAAAACTCGCACTAGCATATTTCATGAAGATTTTTCATTGGATACCTTCAATGGCTCTTACGATGAAAAGCAGAAGCAAATCTAGTGTGGATGTTAAGCCCACGGCACTGACCAATCTCCAATGGACGCGGAGATTGTGAGCACTTGGGTGGTTACTCAACTCATAGCTAATGAATTATATGAATATGTGAATTATAGGAATGGCTGATGTCTAAACCAATGTTTTACGTCTCAAGCTCGTCTTATCGTCTCAAAATCGTGTAATCACGAAAGCGCGACACCTCAGGAAAGAAGATTGGTAGCATAGGCAAGGTATGATTGAAATGGTCGTTGAATGCGATGCATCCCCACCGAGAACTGCGCCACAGTATTTTAAACGCACTTCTATTTGGCATGACGCTAAATCTCAAAATGGCTACACCCAAAATTACTCGCAAAGAAGACTTCGTTTTTATTTACTGTGACTGTGACTATGACATGAATTGCTTAAACAACAGAGATCACCTCAACCCACTTCTATGATTAGAAAGCAAGAACCAGTAGAAGAACACGTCGCCCTAACAGCCCACCTTTAACTTCAACTTGACGACGCCGTCTGTGAATCCCATGTACGTCACGTCACCGCCATCTTCTTGCACCATTGGCCGTACTCGTGAGTCCAATAGCTCCTTTATCATAGCTACAGTGTCATCATCATCTTCATGTATCACTAAAGAAGGCATATTACCAAATGCGGCGCGTAGAAAGAAAAGACAAAAACAACTCGACTTTAATATTTCTTCCTTTACAAATTGTTTTTAAAAATGAGTTTCCGTTCAGGGGAGAGACAGAAGAAAAAAGATAATATTATAGAAAAAGAGTTATGGAAGGATAACAGAAGGATTTCACCTGTATCTTCATAAGCCGGAGAAGATCCACCTTCAGTTATTATTGGCTTTCCTGACTCGATAAAATTCGTAATCGCTGACAGTATTTCCGCTCGCATCAATGCCCAATCTGTCTCTTCGTCTTTCTTCGTGATAGTGATGAAATCCTCGCCGAGAAACACCGAACGCACGCCATTGATGTGGAACAATTCTCTATAACAACGTCACGAATAATGCCGACCGTTTCGCACCCTTTGGATTCTAATAATTGTTTAACTAAAATTCCAATAAACCTCGCTCGGTCAACTATCTCAACGAATTCTCGCCAGTCACCGGGAAAAAAACCTTCATTGCTCTGAAGGGGCCTTCTAGTAGAGAACCACAATTTTGGTCACAAATGAAGTATAAAGCATTGCGTTCAACGTCTCGAGAGGTTGCGGTCCTTTGAAGAAGAGTTTCAATTGACCTTATATGGAAAAGTTTCTGAAGTCTAGTGATACCCATACGCGAATGCTGGCAGAAACGTGCGACAAGCGCGCGGCTTCATGACAGTACGTTCAAAGATCACAGACACCACGTAATATGATCAATCCTGCAAGGATGCCAAACTGGGATTCACCAGGAGTCTTGGACCACGATCATCGTTTGCGTTTTTCGTGGACTATTACAGAGATGTATCGATTATCTGGCCTCGAAATTGTGCAATAAATGTCCACTCCACTCTCGAATTCAGAACGAACTGCAGAGTCATGCAAAACATGACCGCGGCCATAGGTAGCAAACGGCTTTGTCAGCTTGGAAATCGAATGGGTCACAAAACAGTGAGATGTCAGAAAGGTATTAACAAGCCAAAGGACCTGAAGCCTCTCCCAGAATTTCTGAAGCCCGTTTGTCGATATTTTTGCTTCATAGTGAGTTGCTAAACTAACCCAGGGGACCCAATAGGTGAAATCTTGCGTACACATTCTAGAGAAGAAAACAAAGCATAGCTATTTAGTAAGTTGATACCCAAGCAAAAGTAAAATCTCACCTTGCAAGTGGACTATCTTTCGCTGATGCAACAGAGGTGAACTCATATGTTCTTGGTTCGTCGAGAATCGCTTGTCCTGGTAGAAACTTCAGTGATAATGGATTTGGTGTCTCTTGCATTTGAATGAACAGGGAACGCACTTAAAAGATTCATCTGAGAACATAAGTGAGAACAAGGGAAAACGTGTACACCTTCCCCGACAGTTCTGAAGTTATAATTATTATGTTTCTGGAAAACCTGCTATAAAGTAACTCCAATATTCCCAAAGCTGATATAACGCAATGGAAGGCATCTAGCTTGATTAGGGATCGCTGATGTAATAGATGATTAGCAATTCTGCGCATAAATAAGCCTTTGGAGCGCATCTATGATCACGTTATAACTTTCTCACTATATCTGCCGACTTCACACAAGTGATAACCTACTCAGAGAAGTGGTAGTAATTTACAATTTGCTTCAGTTCGAGTTCAAGTCGTTGCATAAAGTAGGAATACACGATAAGAACGAAGGTCAAAGAAGGGGAAAATTGCATAGTTGGGAGACAGGCGGACCTCCTGAGGGTGCTGACCGACGCGCAATTGGCAGCGAAAGATTTGACCTCGGCGATCTAGCATGGCTCACTCTTGGCGCGGTTGGCGGGTACGCCCACCGACTATCTAATCACTCCGCAGGTCTATACGTGGCGAGTGATTAGATAGCAGAGAGAGCGTAGTGTTGAAGAGGGCACAGCGATGAGAGTCGCATCAATGCGCAAATCAACGGGCAAGGAAGGGGTCCCATTTTTGGGTTTCGGGTTTCAAATGGTTTCTTCTTCATCCCTGCTCCACTGACCACCTCTACCCTTTTTTTTCAATGAGCTAACTTTTCATCGTAAATTCTGCTTCTAATTGAAACTGATTAGACTGCAGAAACCTGGGTTCGTGCTACTTTCGGATCCTCAAGCGACACAAATCTATGAATTAAGCATAAATAATAATTTAAACGCACTCGCTGAGAATCGGGGAACTCTGCCAGCGTTTAGAAACCCTCGGATAAGCCCTCGTGATCGATGCATCTGAAGCACAGATAACCAATCGTATGTATGAAATTAATATTGTCATACTTGCTCTCAATATGTAGCCGTTTTTGTCGGTCGATTTTCGAAGACAGTTTTTAAAAATAACTCTAAATTTATTAGATTAAAGGAGAATGCAGCATAACGCAAACTTCGTAAAGTAGCAATCAATACGATAGGGTGAGATGTCATCATGATAATCGATAAAAATTTGCAAATAGGAAATAGAACATACATAACAAGACCGACTGGGAGCAACACCGACGTACTCAGAAGAAAATCACAAGTAGAAGACGACCGGACTGGATGCCGTGATCGTCGAGACATGTAAGAATAAATGACAGTCGACCGAAAGCAATCATCGCTTATACTAGTACAGAAGAATTGTGACTCAATAAACTGCACAGCAAATTCGGGGAAAGAGAAGAAGCAATGAAGAGTTACTATCAGACGAACGGAGTATAAGAATGTGAACACCAACAGCAGCGTGTGCTCAAAGTGCAATTATGTCGCACCTCATCAAGGCAACACACCGATGATACACACACGTCGTGACGCTGAATCACGGAAAGATGCAATATAAGCAGGAATCATGATGAAGCGTCCCGATGCGCACTACCAAGGAAAAACCCGAACAAACCATACTATGCGTCAGACGTTCTACGAATGAACACAAAGGAACTGTGATGAAAGAAGATGTGGTAATGGCAACGCTGACATGAGTAGAATAGCTATGTTAGGACTACTACATGAAGGAGAACACAGTTAAGGTGTATCAAAAAAGCATTTAAAATCAGAAAGAGGTGGCCTAATTCCACCAAGGCATTTGCTGCTGCAAACCGCCTGTTTGTTTCCCGTGACCGGATGACATCCAATTATTGTGTTGACTGAAAGCAATACAAATATATTCATGAATACTCATCATTCAAAAAAGAAGACTACCAAAAAAGCCAACTCACTTATTAAATGTTGCGAACGAGGCATGTTGAGATGGCTGAAGTGGCAGGCCTGCAGGTGGCGGCATTTGGGCGTTGTAATAAGGTCTAAGTGACGGTGGTGGTACCGTCGGATTCGCTCCGCCTATTCCTGTACTTTGTGAAGAGACGACAGAACCAAAACCTGGTGGTGGAGCAAAGGCTCCAGCACCGGATTGGATACGAGACGCATTCATTGAACGCACAGCAGAAGGAGACGATGGGTATGTGGACGACGCCTGCAACATCAAAGAGGGTTAGACAACTGATCAAAAGATATGTGATGGTAATGTGTATTGGCTTCATATTCCTAGCATTTTTTGCTTATTTATTACCCTCCCTGGAAGCCTCCTTTGAGTGGAAAAAAGCCATAAACACAGCAAAAAATCATCAAAAGAAAACGCCCAGAGCGAAAATCGATTTTTAACTGGTCTATCATTTCTGAATCACCTCTATCACAAAAATATCACTTCCGCATACTTAATATTTCGATAACTACATAGAGAAGTTAAAGAACCACTCACATGCGACATATTGAAGTCGCCATTCTGATGGTGGGCAAAAGAACTGCTCAGTAGCGAATTCAATGATTCATATTCATTACTAGCAGCCTGAAAATGATTGAATTTAAGTTCACAAAGTTCAGAGAACTGAAAAAATGAGCTACACAAGGCAATCACTTAATAATTATAATGCAAACACCTGCAAGTCGTTTCTGCAATTTTTATAAAGTTACTTACTATTTTAACCCCCGTGAATATAGAAAATCTGTTGTACTGTTGTAATGGGATTTCCACGTCACCTCCACAAACATGACTCAAAATTCTATACAGTGTCAAGGCACACAGATAAACATGCCACGTAAATACTAAAAGTGTGTACTTGGAGAAAGCTCCCGCATACCACAAGCCACGCAAGCTATTCACCTCATTTACATTATATCTTTACGTTTACAGTACTATCATCTTCCTGACAAAGAGATAGCATGAACTAGCCTAACAGCCATTTTCCTTTTGTCAAAAACATATTGATAGACATTGAACCTAGCCGGCCTCGCCTCCAAATTAGATCAGTTCAAGCGTGAAGCGGCGAATTTTCGATGAAAAGGGAGGCGAGTCGTGCTTGAGGTGCCGAAAGGTATACAGGGCGGTAGTTTTTAAAGATGAATACATGACATTCATCACTTTACACCTCTAAGCTGCCCAACTCAAGGTAGCGATATCAGGTAGGCTACCTGTCCTTAATAGTATCTGAAGCTACGTGTGCTACCCCCCCCCCCCCGCTGGAACAAAATCTAGTCCCTGATGAAACAAGAACATTGAGAAATTGAAGGGAAGGAATAGGAAGTTGGTTGAGGAAATGATGGAAGTCCAACACTAAAAAACATTTCAAAAAAGCCCTCCTGCTCTACTTAGGCCAATAGTCTTATATCCAGGCCAGTGTTCAATTACTCTTATATCTGGCGTAGCCTACAATGAATGAAGGATGGATGAAGCTCAAGTTGAAGATCTTCTTATGTAAACCGAACTTAAAACACCTCATATAAACTTATCAAAAACGCAAAACAGCAGAAATTAATATTCTTGAAGAGATAAGCTCTGAAAAACACGTGGGATGAGCCTCACTCCCATATAACATCTTAACTCCATTTCAATCCAAATCCGAAGAAACGATTATAGAAAACCGAAAGTAAAGTAAACCATGGTAATGAAGCAAAATACCTGATAAGGGTTACTGTAGGCTGATTTCTGTGGAACGGATGAAGTACCACCTCCACCGCTACCGGTAGTTGGTGTAGACAAATGACCCATTCCAATGATGGCAGGATCCGTATACGAAGGAGAAGGGTAGTATGACTGAGCTGGAGCCACTGGTGCTGACGCAACCCCTTGCTGTTGAATGAGTAGTTGTGCAGCCAGCTAAAAGTTTATCATAATTTGGTTGTTAACGACTACGGTTCTCAACAAAAATCTATACCTGATTGAAAAGCATGTTATTTTCCGGTTGACTGGAGGTGGAGTTATATTGACGGGGCCCCGTAGAGGCGGTTGACGAAGAATTGCCAATTGGGTGCGAAGGAATGGTGGGAACACGAGCCTGAAGCAGTGACTTCGTTTCATAATTCCTGATAGACTCTCTCCCTTCTACAGTTAAACTTATTATAAACATCACTCCCGACTCAAAAAAAACGAAACATTCAAATGACCGCAGCTTAAGACAGCAATTTACCTGTGGTCTAGCATATAACGGCATTGATTTTGTAGAAGAAACAGGCCAGTCACTGCCTGAAGTGCTTGTGGCAAATGTTGCCCCAGACTGATGCGTTGAGGTGTTCTGGTGGTTAGATGAGACACTAGTCACCTTGGACGGAGTTGAACTCATGAACAAGCTGTCATGAGGCGCACTAGCCCAATCAGTTGACTGAAAATCAATCAATTTCTCGGATTCCTTTGATGAATACACCAACCCAATGCACACCGAATTCCTCACCGAGCTACGGATGTTGAGATTAGCAAAGTTGTTCAGTAGCACTTGATTACCCCATGCTTGTTCTTGGGATGACTGGTCCTGCTTTCCTGTTCCCCATATCTAAAAATAGAAGAGACACGTTAGGTAGGTCCTACAAAAACGATCACGTTCCTGAACTTCACATACCTCAGCCAGTTTAGCGCGAGTGGTTTCGTCCAGAAACTGCATGGATGAGAGGTCATTTCCAGTTCCTGTGGGGGTTGTGAGAGCTTCCGCATTCGACAGTTTCCCTACGGCAGCGACGGTTGATGTGGCAATGTCATTCAATGGTGATATAACGACGTCAACTGCAGGCGGTTCCACGGACGGTGTCGACATTGGGCTTACGGTTGCTTTGACAGATGTGGCTAAACAAAACTTCCACTAGAAACAAATCAGAAAACGGGCTTCAGCCCTCACGCAACTAGAAAATCAACCTTATTATATTTGCCCTGTTTCACCTTAACATTCTCAATTGCTAGTAATCTACATACTCGAAAACTTCTACCTACATTTCGAAACTTCGGAAACAAGTGAAGAAAATCCTGGTGGAGGAGCAATAGGAACTGGAGGTGAGTTCACCAAACGAGCCGATGAGTCCGACACCAGTGCTGCAGGCGGAGGCGTGGATGACAATGACGATGCAACCGACGAGATGATGATCTGTTCGGTCGGCACAGACGAGCCTTCAAAAGAAAATACCTATTTCACACGTTCGCAGGAGCAAGGAAAATATCTGCGCTCAGAATCACATAAGAGCTTTTCTAACAGTATGCTTCATAACATTCTCTGAACTCACTGGAGGAAGTATGAGTAACGGGCGATCTGTATCCGGGCGCTTTTCTTGGCAGCTCTCTATCGAGGGAGATGGATGAGCTTGGAGGGCCGATCGGAGCCGGAACGGCTGCGTTAGTTGATTGGCTGTCCGACTTCGTGGTGAATGGAGCAGCGGACCCTGCAGAAAACGTAGAAGAGGTCTTCACAGATGCGGGTACGGTGCAGTAGAGTGACGAACTTCTCAGAAGCGAGGGCGTTGATGTGACTGCAGGTGACGATGTAGAGTAACTGTCAACCGAACTGTGCGGTACCGAATTCTCTTTCGTCGAGTTGTTATTGCTAGCTGCAAAAAAGGATATCACAAACTGGAAAATCATTCTGATAAAGATAAAGCGGAATGGGGCCTTTCAAGGCTTTCAAAACAGTAACAAATCAACAAACATACAGCTCATCGCTAGTTGCTGTTGTTGTTCGCGTTGACGTGCAGCCATTCTTTGTTGCCAGACATTAGTCGTCACTGGCGGCATTGTGGTCGGTTTTGAGGTAGACGAACTTGCCGAGGACACCGTTGTGGTCGCCATTGCTGTCATTTTATTCTCGTGCGGATTGCTCAGCCGTGAACCGTCTGATGACGTCGTTGAAGAAGCGTTTCCACGAAGCACCTAAACTAGACGTCAATAAAGTGCAGGAAAGCAAGACGTAAAATGTAAACAAAACTATTCGAATGAAACTTGGAAAAAATATCTAATGATCAAGTACAATGTTTTTATGGTTTCGCTGCTAGCCTAGCTAATGATGTTGAATTGGCATGCTCACATAGAATAATCTTTGAAAAAGGAAGAACCGAAAATAAGCGACCCCACAGGAAAGAAGTAGAATGAAGACCCAACGAGCCACGAGAGCCCACGAAGCCAACTACCCATTGAAGATCCCGTGGCCGGACGGCAGGCCACACTTTCACGCAGGAAAATTCATTTTGTTTAATATATTTCACATTTTTTCGAACCAGTTCATTTACATCACCTGGCCAAAAGAACAATGAATTCATCACCACTAATGAAGTTATTGAAGGTTTAATAACTACTGATGAAAAAGAATGGAAAAAAAGAGATGGCGCAGTGCACTCAAATGGCAGTCGTCAATGGGTGACGTACAAAATTAAGAAGTGATTCAAAAGCATTGAAAAAACAAATTTCTCAAAATTAACCTGTCTTATGACGTCGTTTACTGAAATCTCATTGTCCGTTATAAGACCATTGATCATCAAAGTTGCATTTCTGAAAACAACATTGCATTAAACTGAGTTCAATACACGAACTTGCTTAGTTCCTCGTTTGTAAATGGCTGGTAGCAATGATCATAGCATGGCATATATTCGAAGTGTGAGATCGAGCATATCGAGCATATCATGAAAACCTTTGAGGCGGGCAAAACAACTAAAAATGAACCATCCTCGAATAAAAATACATGGTTTAATGAGATGTGCTGCGCCGTACAAATCGCACTGTGGAAGCTCACTGAAGGGAAGCAAAGAAAGAAAAGAAACAGGAAACGCTAATACAAGCAAATTCAGCCATTCACAATGCTAAGGGATTACGCTTGAAAGCAAAAAAAAAGATTTGATGTTATCCTAACAATACAAAGTCGCCAAGTTTCTGATATTTGTCCCCAGCATTTCTAGTAAAACCCATCGTTCAGAAGAACGTTTCATCCAAAAAAGAATCTCCCAAGTCGAATTTTTAGAACTCACAAATTTTATAGAGGGTTTCTAGCTAGATTATTACATCAAGGGGTCAGCTTATTAGCACATTTTCAACATTACTCATCGCATTAATAAGTAACAAGCTAGGAACTAGATTAGTGCATGCTAACGTTTCCAGCTGCTTCTTTTTCCTGAATAAGATTAAAGTCCTAAAAACGGTGTGGGAAGTCCTTATGATGGAAATATGACGGCCAAATACAAACGGATGGACGAGCCGTAAACATCAACCAGGACGCAGCGGTCCTACAGCTCACTAATCACCAAATAAGTCTACCACAGAATGTCTATTTACAGCCCCTCCATTTTCATGAACAAAATGCCAGCTAACTATACAAATCTAGCTCGCAACCGATTTACCTTATTGAAACACAAATACCCTCAAAAGCAGCAGACGAAAATCCGGAAAAGAAGTGATTTATTCACAATTACGCGCTCTGGACGTTAGGAATTCCTTATCAAAATCGCTAGAACAATACTAAAAAAGACTTGTTTTTAATGCTCAACGGGAAATAGATTAAGGGAGCGCAAAGACCAGGAAAACACCAAACACGCCAGGAACTAGTCGCATTGCTTGGGAATTCATATAAACCTTCATTTACACTTTAGCCGACATTTTGAACTGGAACCCTAAGCACATGGTTAACGATTATATTTGAGGAAGCACCCACATAAGGCAAACTCAGTAACACAAGCTCACAGCAAAAAATATTAGTGGAAGATGTGCATGATCCGAGGTAGGGATACCGGGCTTTTTATGAAATAAAATTAGCCCATGTAAAAGCATAGGTTGGAACTCAAGTGGATGGAACAGCTGGATCTCGCTAGCGGTTGCACGACGAGAGAGCAGTCGATGCGATAGCGACTAGCTACATGGTACTCGGAGAATATCTTGCGGGCCCGCTGGCTTGCCTAACTAGGAGCCCGTTCACGAGCAGCCGCACGAGGCTGGCTACTCATCGATTCACGCAGATGTCTACTCTCTCCACACACACAAACCCTCGCTTTATAACTTGCTCAACTGTCACGTGAGATATAACGCCCAGATGACGGCTGGAGCACTTATCGACATGCGCCATGTCAAATCAAGAGTTCAGAGGAAAACCTTCGCGATACAGGTAATATAAGAAATGGTAGAAAATGACTGGAAGTTATATTCTATTCATTTTGTGCAAGAATGCTATAATATTTTCGTTAAAATGTATTCACATAATATTTAGTGGACACCCTATCGAATCAATCAAACTAAAGCAACTTCAAATAATAGCCTACTTCATTTCTTGAGGAAAAAAGCAAATCATACAGAGAAAATAATTTTTCTGATAGATTCCGTAAAATCTCATATTTTCTATCACTCTTTGGAAAGAGTACAACATGCAAAGACTAACAATGCAGTCAGTAAATCAACTCAAAAGTAGAAGTATTTCAGAACACCTGAAACCCATCAATGGATTGTTGTTAGTTTACCATATCACGTATAGTTTCAAAAATATAACAATGGTAGCTTTTAACTAATTCGACTTTAAGCTCCTCGTTATGTACTTTTTCAGCTTTAGATGAGATGCGATACTGAAGCGGGGGGGCGGGGGGGGGGGGGGGCGTAAAAAATTCAGAGTGCGGATAATTTGCTCGATTGATACAGAATAATGATTTAATTTCCGTGATTAGGAACTGAAACTACGGCTGCCAATCAATCCAGCACAATGACACCAAGACACCCCCATAGCTTTCATAAACATTGAGCGGGACGCTGCTCTCCTCATCATGATTGTCACGGAGGTCTAGCGTGAAAACTCCGCAGTTTTTTTTGGCCGTTGCACCACGATTGATGGTGTTAGCTAGCCGGACAAGACAGTACGGCAGTAGGAGCAAAAGTCGAAAAATCCTCATTAAAAGGGTTAGAAGTCGAGGCAGAGGGATAAGTTGGAGCTGAATCGTATAATGTATGCTATACGAAGTTATTACGGGAAATTTGGAAATTTTCACCGATTTATGGTATTGCATATAACTTTCCAACGTCGACAAATTTTCAGAAGTAGAGTTAAGTGACAAAGAGTATAAGGAAATAGGCAATAATGGTCATATTATGCCGGAGGTGGGTCATGTCCAAAAATTTTCTCGATATTAAACTCCATTGCAACTAAAGCGCTGAGACCACCAAAGTTGAAACATGAAAAACTTATCAATTTGAACGTATTTTATCACAACTGCAATCCTTTTTCTATCCAGTCACGACAAACAAAAGCACAATAGATTTTGCATGGGGAGCTATACCGGCTAACTCTCATTGTTAGGCGAGCAACGCAACGTGAATCACGAAAAGTTTGGTGGATACAGAAAAAACTCGTACCAATTTTGCATAAAAGTAGCAAACATCCTACCCCTGTCGTCTACTCCTGCATTATAGAGTGAAAACACTACCACAAATTCTGGGAATAGCTAGGAACGAAAGCGGATCGCTCGGATTAAAAATGAAGTAAGAAAGGATTTGAAAAAAACGATTATAAACTATGACTCTTCAACTTTGCCAAACCAAAAGCAGCGCTTATAATTCACGACCCCGCCGCAGTCCACTTGCAGCAGAATGGATTTCGATTGCATCAATTTTGACCAATCGTTGCGCTTTGCGAGCGTTTATTTTGACAATGGTACACAGTATATCGAGGTAACTAATACATAACACATTCAAGATGTCTCCAAAGGCAATTCACTGGCAAAGCCTAACAGCAACTCACCGAACAGTCTCCTGTGTTCCACGAATACAGATCTGGCGATCATGCTGATCACGCCGAACAGCTGACTGTTTCTCCACTTCGATAGATGCACCAGTTGCTTCACGGATGGCATTTATATTTGCACCACCACGACCTATCACCCTTGCAATAACGGTACTGCACACACTCAGAGTTGTGGATCGTCGTCGTGACTGAAACTATCATATAACAAAATTTACAACTAGTCAGATACATGAGAAGAGACACCATCTAGAAATCCAGAACTACTACGCGGCTTTTGCAAGTCACTTCATCACAAAAAAAATATTGAAGAAAAGTTGAAAGAGGCATGAAAAAGCTCAGTTGACTGTTAAATTGGAATTTCATGTATGTGATATAGTGTTGGAAAATAAGAAATGTGCAGGGCTGTATTTGTTGCGCTCCTACGGCGGTCGACCACTGCGTTCGGCAAAATATCTTGGTCAATACAACCCATTCGCCACTTTCTGTGATTAAATTACCCCTTACTACCAAGCACCCACCTTTCACTTCTCGAGAAGTGGCTTGAGCGATAGTGGGCGGTGATAAATAACAAAAAATAATAAAATTCTAAAAGTTCCGTATACTCTGAGAAAATCTTTGAAAAATCCGAGAATTTTCGTCCTCATCCCTTTTAAAAGCTAATACCCTTACATACCGTCCCCTCCGAATTCAACAAAATACAGAAAAACAATCACAAACCCCTACACAGCCATCAATGTACCCTCCCAAAACGCCTCGTTACTGGCTGACCCACTCTTGTATTTCCTGACACACTGCTTACAACTACCGAGCCACTTAACGGTATGGGCGGAGCAATTGCAAACGTCGGGAACCAGGCTACGCCCGCAAATTCGCATACTAGCGCCTGAATTTCTAGATGCGACTCATACAAAAGACTCTCAAGCAGCCTACCAGTTCCACGTCCTTCCAACCACTATAGCTGTCGTCCATGTAAAAATCTTTCCCTACAGAACAGGCCACGTTACTGCTAGCACTTTTTGGCTTATTCGACTGTAATCATTGTGGTTAGTAGTGTAGCTGCGGCAAAACCCAAAAAAGAGACTGTAATATAGAACAAAATCTTACAGGCTTTGTCTTCTTGCTCGCCTTTACCCATTCGTCTGTGGGTGGAGCCGGCTTCGAAATGAAAACTGGAGACGGATTGATCTTGGACGCAACACCATTGTTTGACTGATTGGCCAACTGGCCGTTTGAGCCTTCAATTAATAAGAGATTAAATGAAAAAAAAATCACGAAAAGTACTCATGACGAAGGAGCATACAGTAACTCACTTTTACCGCTTTCGTTGCGGCTGCGACGATTCGCTGAACGTTTCTGTTGCCGATTTATTGGAGGAGTTGGCCGTTCAGGAGTAGCCGCGACAACCAATGGCTCTTCTACAGTTCGCATTTTAGGAACGCGATCGTTGGCCTAAATATAAGCATTTGTTTCGATTAGACACACTCAATGCTGAAAAGATGGACAGAGTCAATTGACGAAATCCGCCTTTCTCATTACTGGACTCTCCCCTTGGCCACTTTGATAGGAGGGGCTCACTGTTTGAAGAATACCCATTGTCCAATAGACTCAGCCCAGGAATTCAAAATTAGCTTACTATCAATTTACAAGAAAATTTTGGAAAAATTCTATATACTTCCCTACCATTGGGTCAACCGGCACAGATGTTCTTTCTTTCTTCACGGCTAGGGAATCCGACTCGTCGTCTGAGTAGTCCTGAAAAAAAAGAATCACTTGAGCTCAGTAATAAAAATTTTATAAATGAGTACAAAGAAATCACCCTTTTACAATGCGAACCGAATTTCACTACATAGAACTGTAAAGGAGTGCAACAATCCGCACTTCCATTTCGAGGTAAGTTTCAGTTACACTGGTCTTAAGTACGTTTGTGAACCGAAGTGACTATGTACTACAAAGCCCTCCTATTTTGTCAGAAAAACATTGGCCTTATATGTGCATTTCGCGAGATCATTACAAATTGTTTTGAGACATTCACTTAGAGGAATGTAAAAATCAGTCAATGGTCTCTTCGGACCCTTCACAAAAACATGTTCGATTGCTTTACTTTAAAACTCCAAGAAGCACGGTGCGACAAGAAGACTATGTGATGCGATGAGACTGTGGATGATCCTTCACCACATTACAAAAACACAATTGCTCAATTTCAAAAAGTTGAGGATAAAAAACACAAATTTGCTACGCCTGAAGAAATGAATGAAGAGGATTTCTGAAGCCGATTGGCGAGAGTTCCCGATGAAATATGCGGAAAACGGTAGAGGTTTTTGTGGATTAGAAGAAATGAGACACGGTCAGTCTTTTTGACGACCTAATATGAGCACTTGCTTCTGAGCTACTATGGAAAGCTGCATATTCGTCCTACATCGTAACATGCCAACCATAGTAACAGACCTTTGGTCGACATTAAATTCAAATTGGCCGCTATGCTCAACTAAAAGGTTCAAAAACACGAAAAGACTAGAGGGAAGAGGATTGATAAAATATTGAATTAGGAAGACGAAAACTTTCATTGCTACCACAATTCGATTAAATCACTACATTATCGTTTAGGAAACGCATTGATTGCATAGGCAATAATAGATCACAACGCCGATTTTGGGCACTTTTGTTTGCGAGCTCCTGGCAAGTTTTGCAGACAATTCAGAATTCTTGCGATAACTTTTGCAAAGAGAAAAAGGCGTAAAGCAGCGGTTATGCACTCAAAACAAGTCAAAACTTCGAAGTTGTGTGCAAAACTTGGCAGTTGTTAAAGATGAGAACCAATGATCTTCAAATTCAAAAAACACTTCAAATTCCCTGCCTGCAAGACTACTTTTTCCAAGACCGAAACTGGAAAAGTCGAAAACCGATGCAGAAGAGAAATGACAAATGAGGAGTTGGAATGAAAAACTGGGGAAAAGTATGACAGGATAATCACTGAAAAGAAAACTGCGCTCAATAGATCGACACGCATGTGCCATCCATACTAGCACAGGTCACCTTAATGCCTGCAATAAACTTCACACATCGGTTAGCGGCCAGAAATAGATCACTCCCAGGATCAATGACCTGGGTAATCTCCCAAAGAACACTCTGAATATATACTGTTTTGGGAAAACCTTCCGTTTTTCGATCATTCCGCCTCATACTTCCACCCTCACCATTTCTTCATTTCCTCCATTGATGTTCTCTACTACACTCCACGGCAAAAAAGCGCGAAAGCTAAAACGAAAAAAGTGCTAACTACCTCCAGCAGCAGCACTTGGCCTCAATAGAGTAGCAGTTACCATTACTATCACCCTAAATGAGGCGCCCTTCCTACAACACTACTCGTGTAGAATTTCATGAGTAGGCTGGCCTAGCGCATGCTCGTAAATCAACAGGAAAAAGAGAATTTGTGAGCTCAGCACAAACAAATTGTATGCACAACCTCCAGGTTCCACAGAACCACATTCGAAACTTAGAGTGGAAGAAATTTCGAACTAATTTGGAGAAACGACGTGGAATTTCGAAATCACTATAGGTGACTCCCACGCAGATGACGCACAACCACGACTCAAATATCTGCCACACGCAGCACATAATCCTATATACTGTGATTTTGAGCCGTTTCACGAACTTTAAAAACTGGTCACTGCTTCCTATCCGTAGCTTGCATTCGTTCCCTCTACAAATTCCAAATTTGGTTCTTAGCTGATTGTGGCAGCCTAGTGGCAAAATACTGCCTACTCTAATGAACACACACTGCCAATTACATGAAATGTAACATCCCAGTAGCGTTCTTCTATTCACTAAACTAGAAACAGGTTGACTAGAAAGAGGCACCAATGAATCGATCGATGCCCTACCTCGCTTTCTTCTTTGACACGGGAAACTGGCGGAGACTCCTCAGCATTAGAGACTGGAGCTGGTGCATCTGATTGTGGCGCTGTACTTCTCTCCTTTTCGTTGCCATCATGTTTCTTCGCCTTCTTTTCCTTCTTCTTCTCCTTCTTACGCAGCTTAGCTTGTTTCTTGGACCTAGCTGCTTCCTCCTTAAGATGAAGAAATGTTTTCTCAAGAGCCAAGACCACTTCGCGAACAAACCTCTTCTGCCAACAGTGCCAGAAGGCTTTCCGCAGCCCGGTTCGCCTCTTCAGCTTGTGCATTCTTTGCTTTCACAATGATATCCATACATTCTTGGCAGTTTCGAAGGAGTTCCTGGAAAGGAAAAAAAGACTCTTCACTTGGACTGCTTAATTACTAGTACGAATTCCAACGAAAAAAGAAGCTCACAGGCTCGGCAATCGTCGTGAGATAGCGGAACAACTCTTGGTCTCCAGGAAATTGTCGCACATGCTGCACCATGTGTTGAACGACCTAAATGTTATACAATACTTATCAGAAAAGGTAATCATTAAGAAATACAACAAAACGCTATCACGACGATGTTGAGTTATAGGGGAAACACTTCGCAATTGTCGGAATCGAACCCCACTTCTCGCTTTCTGCGCAGGTACTTGCGCAAAAAGGAAACAAGAAAACAAGAAAATAAGTCATGAAGAGAAGAACATTAATCAAGTAATTACGTACATACATATTATGTGATGAACTGCCACAAACCTTGACATGGCCTTTACGAAAGGCCACCATCAATGGTGACATTTTTCGATTGTCCTGCATATCGACATCAGCACCGTGTTTCACCAATGTCTGCACAGTCTCAAGGTGTCCTCCATGACATGCTAACCATAAAGCCGTACAACCCTTGAACGAGAAAGCTTTGATCAGTTTTAAATGCTCACTTTGAAATTACGTGTCTAGAAAACTGCAAAGTGATTCGAGCGAATGACAAGGTCTCAGAATACCTTTTTGTTTCTAGCGTCGATATGAGCTCCTCGATGAACCAACATATCAACGAATCGCTCGTGACCTTTGTCAGCGGCGATAGTGAGGGCAGTATCACGACTCGATGGTACCGGTGCAGTATTAGGATCAGCACATGCGTCAAGCAATAACTCGCCAACTTCTACATAACCGCCATTCGCCGCCTCCATCAATGGAGTCAGACCCGTCTGAGAAATCATGAGATTTATTTATTAGTTGACTATAGTGCTAATTATTGAATTTTCACCTTAGCCCTATGTTCAACATTTGCATTGTATTGCAGCAGCAGTCCTACAACTTCTGTCCGCCCTTGGAAGCATGCCAAAGTCAAAGCAGTGTTCCTGGAATAAGACGTAGTTTGAAGGCGAGTTTATAAATAATGCCAGCTGTACAGATCACAATAAAAAATTCAGTCGGTAAATTTCACGCTATCAGACAAAATTGAACAAAAAAAGCACAAAACGAGGTAAAGCTGTTATGTCCACATATCACCATACCGATTTGTTTCGATTTGGGCATTAATGTCGGATCCCTGTTCAAGAAGCACCCTTGTAGCCTCCTTATGACCATTCATTGCTGCCAGCATCAAAGGTGATATGCCGAGCTATACAGAAAAAAATAGTGCATGTTTGGGATTCATTTGATATCGTGCATCACCATGTTATGTAAACGCATTTCTTGGGTGCGAAATGACCGGAATAAAAGCTTACTTTGCTTCCAGTTCTTGAATTGATCTCTGCTCCAGCATTCAGCAGCATATTAACTATTTCCACATAGCCTCCAGAAGCAGCTAAGGACAGCGGCGTGTAATCGCTTACATTTCGATGTTCCTTAAAATACCACATTTAGAATAGCAGTTATAACCTGACCAACTGAGGTCAGGATAAGAAATGACGTTTTCTTATGGAATAGAGCTCAATCATACGTCCTCTTAGGGACTACCAAGATGATTACTTGAATATTTGTGTAAATCATGCAAATACGAAAAGAATGAAAAGCTTATAAAAAATTCCGTTAATGTAAATAGACAAGACAACAAAACTTTGGAAAATCATTCACCTTATTAGCACCTCTGCTGAGCAGGAGCTCTACTACATCTTTGCGACCACCAGAACAAGCAAGTGATAATGCAGTGTCTTTGGTACGTTCCGACTGTGCTTCAATCTGAGCTCCGTTGTTGAGAAGCAATTCCACAACATCACGATGCCCACCCGTAGCAGCCAATATCAGTGGAGTAAAGCCCTGCAACAACTCATGAACTTCAATAAGATGCATAAGCGCAAAAGGTCGTGCTCGGACCTGTGAAGCCTCACCTTTTTATCCCGGTGCTCTATGTTAGCCCCTCGACAAACGAGAACATCTACCATCTGAGCATGGCCATTAGAACATGCCAAAGTTAACGGCGTATCATTATTTGATTCCGTTGCCTTATCCACGTTGAAAGCAGCCCGCTGACTAGCAGTTGCTCTAAAGAGGTAGAAGGAGTGAAAATAGGAAGGAAAGATAAAAAAAATTAACCCTGAAAAAAGAGACTACCTCGTTATGTCTAAGTCATCTCCTTCGCTATGAGCACGCCGGAGACTGGCGAAACCAGGGGTTGGAGGTGTCGTTGCGGTAGGAAGAGTTGCTGGCGGAGCATCAGGGGTTGGAACCAATCCAGGAGCGGCGTGTGCAGGCGGAATTGGCACTTGTGAAGCTACCGCATTCAACCCTACCGACTGCGCGACAGAGGGGAGTGCACGGCGTAGTATCTGAAACAAATGGCAATCAGTCTCATTACAACTGATTCAGTCTCGAACCATAATTCTCTAAAAAGAAGGTCACCATAAACGGCGCAATTTTGATGATCAGTCAAGTATATATGAATCATCAAATCAATACTCATCGAATCAAGTAAGGTTACTTAAACTACATCACTAGAAATTACCTGGTTTGACACTGTCCTGCCAACAGGCACCGTGGACTTTTCTGTCATTCCGGGTGTGCTGGGAGCAGAAATGGATTGAGCCGGTAAACTTGCAGCGCGAGGGATGGATAGGTTTTCTAAAAATAATTAAAAAAATGAGGACCAAACAAACATCAAAGTAAGATCGGAAACGATTCTCAACACTAACCACCACTGGCTATGGCATCGAAACGTTGCTGGAGATTTTCACACATCCCACTCTGAGCCGCAAATCGTTTACGCATGTACTCGCTCCATTGCTGGGCATTCTGAATGCGTTTTGTAAGTGAAAACCAGAAAAATGTGAACCTTGCTATGAAGTCACATTGTTTTGACACAACAGCTACACATACCTGCTTAGCTTCGGGACCTTTGAGCATTTCTTGAAACGACGGCATCGAAACATCAGCAAGCGTCAGCGGATTTGGGTTGGCCGGAGTGCCAGGTAAAGGTGCTTGAGGATCGAAAGGATTCACCAGTGGCATATTTGGAGGATACTGCATCAGAAACGGTGATGTTTTTGTCAGCATTTCAAATGCCTCAACTCGGGCTTTCATTTCTGCCGCAGACATCGACGATGTTGGCGTAGACGACATCTGCATAGAACAACCGCCTCCAGAAGCATTAGGAAACGCCTGAAATGATAGCTCTCGATGAATGTATTGAGCCGAGCACACTATGTCTCCACTCACCGGTGTAGTCCCATCACCCAAACCACTGAATAACGAAGCGAACCAGGTTAATGCGGAACTGTTAGAAAAATCTGCAGGTAGTGAAACGTAATGCCCAGGCTGAAACAGCTCATCCACAGTAACGGAGACACTATCATCACAGAACGATACTATGGGTTGCATGCGTATCTCTTCCCATCAAATACTCTCCACCATACCACTAATCATACACTGAACGAATCATTCAGCTGTATTATCTCAAATAACATGAGGTTTCACACCTACCCTACTGTATACAAAGCGCTGGCCTCTATTTTATCCCTACTTTATACAAAACGCTAAGTCTGCCTATCTGTCCGTCCATGTGGTGTCATGAAATTACATATTACCTAAAGAATCAACCTGAGCGTTCCGATCAGGGTTGAAATGTGTGCAACATGAGTCAGAATGTCCAGATCATACATAAGCTATGTGGAGCCCTGCAGATGGCGGATGGAGTATCTGCGTGATTGGTGGGAAGGGGGGGGGGTGCCGAGGGCAAAAACCCGTGATTCGGTTTTATGACTTCAATAATGGATGAGGTGATGTGGAGGCATTCGTGATAGGAAGTAGCATTGTGTGAGAAAGATGAACAAGATGGGACCCAAACTTGCTCCAGACGGTTGCTCTTCAAATGGGCATCGCTTGAGGAATCGTAGCTGGTTTCTAAGGAGAAAAAGAATGGAAAAAACTGCTGGTGATAACTAAGTCCAAGGAACCCGAAATTGCAACCAGAGGCCCGCCCACAGCAGGCGGAGCTTCCCGCAACCGGGTAATAACTTGTCAAAAACGTTTTTGTTACAAGACGCTCCAGAGATTAGAAGAATGAGTAGAGGCAAGCAACGAAAAATAGTTGAACGAAAAGACAAAGTCTTACGGTAGGCAGATCTTCACTGTGATGAGCGGAACCAGAGCAGTTTCCAATAAAGTTCCGGAATAACACGGAGACCGGAAGAAATGGGAAGACTAGAGATCAGCGGTCAAAGTTCGCTGTGGGAGGGGCGTGCGCCAAGATAGGTAGGACAAAACAGAAATTCCAATCGCCTCGTTTCATATCGCTGAAGTCCCATAGGTGCACGGGAAATAGTGCAGAGGCTATCTGATTGGAAATTTACTAAAACTAAGCTTCCTCCATCCTAGAAATTCTGCGTCCCTAACTGCAGTCCGACTACGATTTCATTTTCGATTAGCGAATTGGCAGATGTTTTTACATAAACATAATGCGATGACGCGGCCTGTCTTGATGCATTCCACCGCCAATCGATACGCACTCTTTGCATCGTTATCTAGACGAATTCCATGGAACTCGGAGCAGGTAGCAGTCTCTCAACGAGCGCCAGTCTTTTCAAATTGAAGATGTTCAGCGCAATTCAGAGATTTGAGAATAAATTTGAAAAAAAAGAACAGGGAAAGACAAAGAATTGTCCACACTCTGATGAGCTATGGTACTATTTCAAAATGGAAGATCAAGCGACTCCAAATGATTCTTATAGGAAGTTATCCGACCAGAATGTTTCAGGCAACGCAACGGTATAATATAGTCACAAATTCATAACTCGACGACTCATATTTAATGCACTCCGAAAAGAATGCGTAGTCGGGCTTTCCCTAAGTTGGAAGTTCCGTGTTATGTCTAATTCGGAATCCAGACAAAAAACTGCACTTACTCTGTCATTTACTAAAACTTGATTAAAAACTGGGAAAATTACATTCGCAAGAAATTGTATCAGTGGAAGACCTGAGATTTCTTCTCAATAAAAATATGATTGTCTCTAACCGTTCCAAACATAATTGCCAGAAAAAATATAGGTTGTGGGGAAAGTCTGCGGTTTTTGACAGTTACCGATGCATCAACTTTTTCAAAGAAAACATTTGCATCTTTTCAAACTGATGCAGGTGGTCGGCGATGGCGTTAAGGGGAACACCTAAGACTTGTGCAAGTTTACGCGCAATTTGCCGTGGGTCTACCACAACCAGCTGCTCCAAACGATCACTGTCA